ACTCCTTACTTAATACTATAATATTCCTTTTATATCATAAATAAACACAATAATCTATTACCAAAATTCTATTTTAGTGAGTGTCTTTAATAGCATTTATTCTATTTAATATTTCTAATAACAAAAAAATGGACAGATTTTACAAAGCTTTGCTTAAAGTAATTGTTCAATAAAAATTCCTAAGAAATTATAAAAAACTTTAATTTTCAGCGATGATGGAAGTAAAATATCCAAATTAATTATCATTTATGACACAGAATATTTGATTGTTGGTTCTTATTAGGATTAATAAATACTCTTTAGAGATTAAATTGAAGCCAATATTTCTTTTAGCATGATCTAATAATCCATTTTAATATTATTTGCATAATCATAGTTAATTTTAGTTAACTTAATAAATTTTCAAAAACAAGTGACATAATTTTAAAAAATTCTTTTATAATAAGTTGAAAATGGTAATATTTATGTTTTAGAATAAATAAGTACATAGGATTGCTTAAATGTATAGCTTAATACTATATCATCCGGATAAAATTAAGTCTGCTTACTTTAGACTCCAGCAAATTCTGATTATCAAAGCTTCTGTAATTTTGATATTTAAGTAATGGAAAATAATTTAATTATCTTTGGTTAATCAACATTATTTTTTGTGGTTTATAGATATGATTGCTAAATTATATTAGAATAAAATTTTTATATTTTAAATATACTAACAATAGACTCTAATACTTTAGTTCTTTAAAACGTAGGTATTTCAATATTACAGTTAGATTAAAATAATTCTATAACAAATATTAATATTATAGATTCAATCAATAAATTTAGCTTAATAAAAAATATTTTAGTGATTTGTGTAGAGCTTTAAGTAGTTACAGGAGGAATTTAAAATCCAATGATAAAAGTCAACCTTAATTAATATGTTAACTTTTAATCATAATAATTAAATGAATTAAATTACGATTATGCTGTATCCAACTTTATAGTAAAAATAAATGGATAAAATTTATAGTATATGGATATGTCATATCCTTTCTTCTCTTATTAATTAGTGTAATTTTAAGATAATATAGATTTAGTTGAATAAGTATAAAATTCAAATTATCTTATGCTCATAAGATTTATAAATGTAATTAATTTTATTATTTTATATATTATTACTAATATATTTGATATTTACATTAAAAATTTTTTAATTTTTAGATCCATTTTTTAAATAATTTCAATTAAATTTAGGATAAAAATAATGCAGTTATATTAGATGGCCATAACAATACTTACATTTATATAAATAAGAATTTAGGAAATATAATGTATTTCTAAAATAGCTATATATTCATGCAATATCCCTCAAATTAATTGCTAGTATTATAAGCAATTTATAAAGTAAACTAAAACTTATTTTTTAAATACCAATCTTCATACGTATTAACAAATGATATTCAACAAATAATTGGAGAAATAAGTCCTAGTTAAATATCAATATACTCTCTGAGAGATGGGTCTTAAAAAGTATATTTAAGTAAATTTTTCCTATGTAAAATTCAATTAAAATTTTTTTTTTTTAAAGATAAAGTAGCTAATTTAAATGGTCAGTTAACAAATTATATAGAAAATACTGAAATTTACATGGCAATTAATTTAGGAAGTTTTGGAAATATATCACTAGTAGATTTATTAACCACTAAAATGATTAAAGTAAAGGCACCTAAATCTTATTAAATTTTAAGAAACGGTGAGATATTTTTTATAAGTGTAATTAACTTTTAAAACTAGCAGACTCTAATAGATTCAAAAGTGAATATCCTATAAGATACAATGAAGAAACTGCAAGGATACATAATTTCTTTATTATGGAAAGAAAATAATTATTATTATTTTATCTCAATCTCATAGAACAAATTTACAGTATTTGATACTAATGGCTAGCTTATATTTTAAGAAAATATTGTTATTTCTGACATTATTACAAATAATTAATAATTAATATTTTTCCAAGAATAGTATATTGCTCAATACTCAATTAACATAAATAAAAAACAACTTACTCAAATAAATTCATTCTAAATTAACAATCAATACCTAACTTTTAATGTTGATCTTTATAATAGGTTAATTTATGTCTAACTTTAAAACTAACTTTAGGTCCTTTAGATTGATACCCTCAATTTAGTTCAGTCTATATAAATCTAGAATGATTATGTATATATTGGAAACGATAAAAGAAATTTGGTAAATTTAAATTTTATTTTTAAAATATTAACTTTTTTTTAATTTAAAGATATAAATTTATAGATAAGCAAATTAAATAATAATATTCTAACTGTTTAAAGAATAAACGAGATCTTTTCCATTAAATTTTGATTTAACAAAAAAAACATTGTTTATAGATAGTGAATTAGGGATTATTGTCATCTGCGATTATGCATTACCACAAATTTATGTATTATAGTATGTTGGCTATTTTTAGCTAAACAGTTTTTCAATAACTTCTCCATCATCAAATTTTGGAATTTTTAGAATGAAATTTATTTATAATTACCATTTATCAATTCTTATATTTAGTTAAGCAGGATAGTTCTATTTTATTGATATAAACTATTTATACTACAATCAACAAATTATTAAAATGGCTAATGATAACTAATCAGCTCTCTTTGGATAAAACAATCAAAATATAATAATCCTTAACAATGATATCAATTACCTTTCTGTATATGACAGTGTAACCTAATAGATTTAGGATAATTTAGTTTTTAAGTAAAATGTAGATATTAATGACATAGAAAATTATTCGATTGCCATTCTTAGCTAAATCAACTCTGTTATATGTATTAAAAAGAAAGATTATTACATTATTTAGCTTTTTCCTTTAAAAAAAATTTAATAGCAAACTCTTACAGATGTTTAAAATATTTACATTTCAGATAATTATGGTTTAGTTCTTTATAGTAATTTAAGTTAGCAATTATATTTATTTAGCCAAAAGGATTAATAATTTACCATGCTAAAGTAAGATTAATAATAGATTACTAAAATAATCTTTATAAATGAAAAATTTATATGTGTTTAAGTCATCAATCTAGGCTAATAATAATTGCTTGTATTCGATACATCATCCCAGAGATAAATTCCTTTTCCTTTTAATTAGGTATTTATTAGTTCATTAATTCTTTAAATTTTAATATAAATAATATAAACTAATAAAAATGAATGAACATATATGAATTTCATCACTTAATAAAAAAATTAAAACATATTTTTTAATTTAGAATATGTATTTTTAGAAGAATATTAGTTAAAAAGTTTTAACCAATTTAATTATTTATATTGTTTTTAAATTTATTGAAATAAATAAAAATATCAATAAACTAGTGTATTTAAAAGTTTTCATCTTTAATTAAAGTTTACCATTTTTTAATTTCATTAAAAAATAAATAACCCAAATGACTAAATTTTTTTTGTATTTAGCAAAAAAACTTATTTTATTCTATTTAAAATTATTATATTGGAGATTTTCATTAAGCTATTTATTTAGTAAATTATAAAAAACTAATAAATTTTATAATTTGTTAATATTAGGGGCAAGTAATAGATCTGAAGATTAAGAATTTTCTAATTGTTCAATAGTTTGCTACTGGCAAAACATCTCTCCAGATATTTTAATTTAATTAAAATGACATTACATTTGTTTATTATTTTTACTAGTATAACGGATAATTTTAAATTAAGTAGCTATTTAATTAACAATACTTTAAAAATATACATAGCATTTACATAATGGGAATGTAAAATAATTTAAATGCTCTAATTTTGAAAATTAAAGAAGCTAAAAGTATAATTTCAGTTTCTGAAAGCATTTAAATAAAACAGCTATCATTGCCTTGCTCTAACAATACTAAAATAAAAGTAGAAAATAATTATTTTTATTACATTTGTCCTTACGTCTCTTTTATTTATGACATAAGTGCAACATTTATCTAAAGTATTAAGTACTCTATTAACTCTAATTTGACTATCTATGATATCTCTTACTTAAACTATGATATTTTTATAGTAACATTATCATAAAATTAAATAGATTTATATGAAATAAACTATAAATTTAAGAATAAAATATCATCACTATCTAAAATCATCAATCCCAAAATTTATAATTATTTAATCAGTCAAAACAATAACATTATTTAACTAATAATCTATGGAATTTCTGATTTTAATTTATTTTAAGCTAACATAAATTATTAATCAAAAAGGTTCAAATACTAAATAGCTTAGTATTTAAATTAAAATTAAGTTTAGGTTACAACTTAAAGTTATATTGATAACTATAAAGTATTTTATTTATTTAATATTTAATAATTTTATTAAATCAAATTTATTTTTAAAAGCATATTGTCCAATAATAATAAATATCCTAAACTATCTAATCTCTAAGATATCAAATATTCTTTCAGCCTCCTTCAAAGATGTAAAGTTTTTTATTTTTCTTATAAACTAAATATTTATTAATTTAAAATAGTAATTAATTTCCAGTGATCAATTCTTATTAAAGCTCCGATTTTGTAGAAATTTATTCAACAGATGGCATAAATAGCAATCAAAAATATTAATTATAAATTTCTTCAACTGAATTCATATCAGATTAATTTAAGAATTTAAAAATAGGAAATATGATTCTCAATTTTAACTTCATTGACTCTCTAAATTTTAATTAGTATTAATATTTAGAATAACTTTAGTTCTCTAATATGACAATATAGTTTGGCTAACAAAATGGATCTATATTTTTGAATTCTTATAAAAAGCTAATAATAAATGAAATAAAAATTATTAATTAAGTAATTACAACTTAGTTCATCTTTTAAAATATCACAGATATTTTAATTAATAACCTGGAAATTTAAAATGTCACTTTTTAGTCTTAGTCTTACTTTTTTTCTTTCTAAGAAATCTAGTAAATTATGATAAGAAATCTTACTATATACTAGAGTAATTTTAATTAAACAATGATTTTAGTGAATAATTCAAATAATATTTAAATGTAAAATATATTCGTTTCTAATAACAATTTTTCTCAAGGATTAATTTTTGTAAATTAATCTGAAAACTTTTTTAGTGATTAGATTTAAGCTTAATGGAATCAGATAAATTAAAACAATTTAAACAATAAAATAAATCCCTACCTGTTCAATTTTTTATAAGTTAAATAAGTTTAATTTGATAATATTTCTATTAGTAACTCATTGAATTTAGGATTTGTTAACTTCACTGGCTTGATGATAAATTTTCAATTTCTTTATTCTATTAGCATAAAAAATTCAAAATTTAATGAAATTAAATAAAAAATACCTATTATTTAAGTTACTTATGGAATCAGTGCAACCATAGAAAATCTATAAGTTAGTAAAATGAATAGCTCGAATTTTATACTTCTGTCTTTGGTAACTTAGCTTGAGTTAACAAATTTAAGCTTTTTTAATATAAATGAGCCTTTTGTTTAAATACCTAAGTTAGGATCTTCTTTTATTCCTTAATTTGATAATTATTTATTAAGTCTTGGTGGAATAAATAATCTTATGGTCTAAAATTTGTAAATGTCTTTTTGCTATAATATTGGGATGTTAAATTTAATTGAGTTTTAAGTGGGATTAGATGCAATTTAAAATAGCAATTAAATGCAGGCAAACTTAATTAAAATTTCTAATTCTTAATCTAATCTAAGTGAACCAGCTTTAAACTTAAGAAATAAATAATTAAGTATTTCTTAACTAACAGTAAAAAATGTTATATTTAAAAGTCATATTATGAACCTCAATTCACAATCTTATTTCTAAATGAATCAATCTTAATTTATTAATATATATCTGATAAATTAATCAACAACAATATATAATAATTAAATTTCAGTAATTGAAATATCATAAGTAAAATTTTAAAATATTTCTTCTTAATAATACCCTGCTATATTTTTAACTAAGTCTGTAGATAGCTTTAGTATTCGTAACTGCACTTTTAGATAAAACTAAAATCTACAAACAAATATATCAGTTTCATCTAATAATGATAATAACAGTAATTTTAATATTTAGAATTGTAATAATTTGATAATAGATGACTCATTATTTGCACAAAACACATGTTTCAATAATGGAGGAGGAATTTATTTATTTCAAATTCAAAAATCTTTTATAAATAACACCAAGTTTGTTCAAAACTAGGCATAATAATACTCAGGAGGAGCAATTTATGCTTCTAATTCTAATATTAATATTAATTAATGTCTCTTTTAAAACAACATATCAAAAAAGGAAAGAGGTGGAGCTATCTATTCTGATAACACTTATATTTAAGTAGTTAATTCAAATATTATAAATAATATTGCATATGTAGGTGGTGGAATTTATTATAATAAAATAAATACAATAAATATTGATAAATCTAGCTAAATTTATTAAAATAAAGGTATAATTATTGAAAATTTATTTACTTTACATTGAAATTATTTTATAAATAGGTAGATTTTATGGGAATAACTTAGGTTCTTTTCCTAAAAAATTATTAAAAGTAGATTTAAAAACTAAATAGGTTTATAACAAAATAATCATTAAAAATTTTTAAAGTGGAAACTATACTAAATAACCAATATATGTTTAATATTTTGATGAAGAAAATTAAATACTAAATTTTAATATTGCAGATTTAACTAATCAATTTTCTTCTAGCATTAAATAAGAAATAGAAAACTATTAAATAGCGATTTTGAATCCTGCAAATGTGAAAAATCTAACAATAATATTAGGATAACAATTATAATATATAAAATCTATCAATTTATTTTAACTCAATATGACAGCAGGAAATTACTATGAAACAGATTTTCAATTGGTTTTATTCTCACAATTTTTTAATGAGTACCTTACTCTTGATTTATTACTTAATTTTAGAAAATGCAAAATTGGAGAAATATTATATCATAAACAAGGATATATTTCGTAAATAGCTTTATTATTGTTTATTTATTAAATTATTTAATTTTATTTTATCAAAATTAAGTTGTGATTAATGTGTTGAAGGGAGCTATTCTCTGGTTGACCCATATCAAAAATCTGAAAATGGTCTAGTTTAATGCCAGAAATGCCCTATAGAATATGCAAAGAAATGTTACTCAAATCAAATTATTTTAAATTAACACTTCTGGAGAGAATCAAATTTAACAGATAATATTTTCACTTGCTATATGCTAGGTTGTAATGAATCAGCTTACAATTCAATAAATGGATGCATAAAAGGTTATATCGGTCCTCTATGCAACTCTTGTGATTATAAGGGTATATACTGGGGAACTAGCTATGCTTAAAATGGGAAATATTGTTATGAATGCGGTAAAATAGTAGATCTTTACGTCTTTGTGGCGTTATCTATTTTATTTTATTCATTTTACATATCATTAAGTGTGTATTCATAGATCAAAACTAACATACTGATTATAAAAATTGAATATTTAAGAAAGTTAGAGATTTTATTTGTAAGCAAAACTAAATTTTTAGGTTCTGATACAGGAATAATATTAAAGATCTTTTTTCACTACTTACAGATATTTTCATCATCTATAAATGTCATTAACTAAATTCCTGAGATATTAGGTAATTTATTTAAATTAGGAGGTGATCCAACTTAGATAACTTACACAAGTTTAGATTGTATTTATAAGAATTGGGTTATTTCTTAGCTTTGGTTTAGTCGATTGATAATGTAATTCACTTAAATAATAATAGTAACTGGACTAGTTCTATTATCTAGATATTTTTTACCTAAAAATATGAGATAATTTTATAAAAAAAAGATATACTTAATATTTATTTACTTTTTTTATTATTCCTCTCTTGTTAAAATGCTCATGTCTCTTTGCCTATGCAAATAAATTGGAAATAACTATTATATGTTAAACGATTTTCTTTAAAAGTGCTGGACAAACTAACATTTAATATTTTCCTTTGGAATAATATATCCTCTAACAATAATTTGCTCAATTGGAATACCATTAATATTTTATTTGAAAATTAAATCTGCTATTTAAAATAAAAAATAAGAGAATGTTTAATTTATCTTGTCTTATTACTTTATATTATAAGGATATAAAAATTAATTTTATTATTGGGAAATTCTCAAAATGTTTCTAAGATTAATTATCATGATTATCTTGAATTTAGATATTTAAAACGGTACTTAAAGATAATTGATATTAGTTGTATGCTTTATCTAAATAATGATGACAATCTCTTTGAATCCTTATAAATAAAAACAAATGCAAAATTTAGAAATTTTGCTGCTTTCAGTTGTTATAATTAGTCTAGCTCTGTAAACGATAATATTTATGTAAGATGATAATTTAGATAAAACCTTAATTTTAATAATTATCATATTTATTTTTAATCTTTATAATTTGATAAAGATAATTTTTGAATATTATAAATCTGCTTTAGAATTAGCTTTAAGGTCTAAAAGTAGAAAATTTAAGATTATTTTAAATTTATTATATAAATTTAAAATCATTAAATTTGATATCAAGAATAGATAAACTTCATTAATAAGGATAAGCCAATTGTGGAAAATTATAAACAAAAATAAGCATCTTTTAAATTATGAATTTGAAGTTTCCTTGAAATAATAAACTATCTCTAAGAGTTAAAAAAATTATAGCAATTATCCAGGTACATAATTAGAACTCCTCACATATAACGTAATTGTTTTTAATAATTTTATTTTTAATATTTTATAATTTAATTTTAGGAAAAGGAAAAGGAAAAAATTATAGACAATTGACATTAGACAAATATATCTTTAAATCATTTATTTTGTATTTTTCATGTTAATAAAATTAAATTCAAATTAATTTTAATATTTAAATACAACATAATAATAAACATTAACTAAGAAATTATATAAAACAAAAAATATATTTTAGAATTAAAATTTAAAAAAATTTTTAAATTTATAAAAAAATTTAAATCAAAATTATAATTATAACGACTCTAAAAATGTATTAGATAATTAATTAATAATTTCTTTTATTTTAAAAAAATACATTTTTAGATTTATTAATATCAGTAAAGCTTAAAATACTATTTGAATTAGTAATTAAAAATGTAAAAATAGTTAGTAAAAACATGAAAAAATTATCAATTTACATAAATTTATCTAATAATCAGTAAAAAGTATATTCAGAGTAGTTTTTTGGTTTTTTTTATCAATTAATTTAGTATTAAAGATATTTAATTAATACATTTAAATAATATGAAGAAAATATAAGACTTAATCATTTTAGTGTTTATCTGTTTTTTAAAGTAAGCATAGCAATTAAGCATACCAGATATATGTCCTTTAGTTAGCAATTTTTTTTAAAGTTAATCTGATCAATGTTAATAGTGCCTACAAAATTGTAGCGAATGCTTTTCAAACAATTACTGCGTTTTATGCATGCCAGGATTTATTTTAGTAATATTATTGTATTTTTAACTTAAAATTAATCAATTATGAACCATAATAGAATAATTAGGGATAGTGTGTAAGTAATTGTGGAGATAATTAACTGAAAAATATTTTAAATAAGCAATGTTAAAACGTTCCTGATATAAATTGCTAGAAATATAATTAGCAAAACTAATGCTAATAATGTAAAGATGGATACATTTTAAGTGAAAATAAAATATGCAAAAATACATTTTGTTCAGGTTATTAAGGCACCTACGATATTTCTACCTAAAAATGTTCTTTAGACGGATTTTTACTATCAGATTACAGTAGGGAATAGTAAGATTAATAAACCAACACTCAATTAACTTAAGATTCTTTCAGTTTTTAGTACTCATCATTAAAAGAAAGCTTGAATGAGCAAATAATAGAAATAATTGTTTTAGATATTTTAGATTACAAATTAGTACTTTTTTAATATCTTTTTAAAAATTTTATAATATATTAATATTATTATAGGTAATAGGAAGAACAATACAATATATCATATTTTATGAATACAAATCAATGTCTGCCTTATATTTACTTGATATGAAAATTCCAATTATTTAAATATAAGCTAATCAATAATAAATGAAGCTCTATGCTTTGATTTCTCACTGTGATACAACTAATTCAGATACAAAATATGTCTTAAATTCACTTGTCTCTATTGACATAGCTTCATATTAATAAAATGTAGTCTTCTAATATAATAATATAGTAGATTAAGGCTTATTTAATTCTTAATATTTAATATTTAGAAGCGGAAGTGTTTTAGTTATTTTTCCTCTAAGTGATTAATATATGAAGACATTATAAACAAATATATAAATAAGTAGTTATTCTTTTTTATAAACTGAAGCAATCATTTTATTTACAGATTATAATAATTAAGTATACTTGACAAATCCTACATTTACAGGTTATAACATAATTAATTTAAGCTCAAACTTAAGATTTTAAATGGTCAAATCTATTCTTACGCAAAGCTTCATATCTATCATTCAAACGGACTAAGCTAATTAAAAGTAAAGTCTAATAATTTTTGGAATACAATAATAAATGGATTCTTAAAATCAGATTTATTATACTTTAGGAAAGGTAATTTTTTATTTTAATAAAAAAATATTAATTAAAATTTAAATTTATTAGTAAATATAAGTTATCGAATATAGCGGATAAAATATTTAAGTGACAAATCTTAATAATGTAATATATTTGATTTCTAAAACAGGTAAATTTTTTTTGGAAAAAAAAAAAAATATTTTTAATAATCTTTATTAAATTAAATCTTAAAATAATATAAAGAAATTTAAATTTGGAAAGAGTCAAAACAGGTTACTAAAATTAATATCGAAAATAGCTTGTAGAATTTTATATAAGATGATTGCGTGATTGTAAATTTTAATTAAAACATTTAAGTCTATTTGAATATTTAAAGTGATTCTTAAATAGAAAAACAGACATATAATTACCCAATTAGAACTTAAATAAATACTGTAGTTTTTTACTAAAATTCAATATTAGTAAGTGCATATAATACAATTTATGCCATTTAATATTACAAACAATCAGAAAAAGAATAAAGCTTACAATCTTTTAGTCAAAGTAATAGCCAAATAAAGATATATAAATAATTTTAATAAACTTTAGTGTACAGTGATGATGGGATCAAAGTTAAAATGTTAGTTATTATTTATGATACTGAATATTATATAGTTGGTTATGTTAATAATTAATAAATTGTTTTTAGAGATCAAATTGGATCATAAATAATTAACAGTTGGATAATACTTCAAAACTTGTTCATATAAGTTGATTAATAATTGTATTAGCTTAATTTAAATACCTTCTAAAAGAAATAAATAAAATTTACAAATATTATTAACATATTACCTGAAAATAATAATCTTTATGTGATAGATTGGTCAGACCCGTCTGATTGTTAATAATTACAGTTTACTAAATTTACTCCTGACTAAACATAAGTATGCACACTATAATTTCCTAACAATCCTGAATATCAATTTATTTGTTTCAATTAAGTTTTAATCTAAAGTAATTTAATTATATATAATGCTGGATTCTTTTTCGTAGTATTTTAATACAATTGCTAAGTCTAATATCATGCCTAAACTTTTTTTTACACGATTAAAATAATAGACTCTAATTTTTTACTAATAAATGGCTTAAACCTTTCGATATTGTAAATTGATAGTAATACATTGATAGATACATAATTATATAACGTAGATAAATATGATATATTCAAAAATATTCTAGTTCTTTGTGTCTAATAATAAACAACGCTTGGAGGTAAAGATCAACATTTAACAAAAATAAATCTAAATAAATATGTTAATTACTATCCATAAGATTTAAATGAGTATAGTTATGATTAAGCAGTTTCTAATTTTATAATAAAAATAAATGGATAAACTTTAAATTATATGGATATGTCTTATCCTTTCTTTTCTTATACTTCCGTGTCTTTTTCAGATAATATCAGTCAAGTTGAGCCAATTAGAAACTCTAATTCTCTTTTGCTTATAAGGTTTTAAAATGTAATTATTATTAAAAATATTCATCCATTTCATTTGATATAAATACTTTAAAAATTTAAAAAAGAGAATTTTCTACATAAATATAACTAATATTTTAAATAAAAATAAAATAATTATTTAAATATAGGATAAATATAGTGCTATTTTATTAGATGGCCATACAAATACTTAAGTTTAAATAAATGGTAACATAAATGGCTTAATGTATTTTTAGAATTACATTATGTTTCTATAAAAACCTTACAATTAATTATTAGTTTTAAAAGCATCAAATCCAATAAACTAAAACATATTTTTTACATACGATAACTTGCATGTATATAGTAGTGAAGCATAGTAACTATTAGGATCACCTAATGGAGATGTTATTGAAATCTAATATTATAAAGATGGTTCTAAAAAAATATTTCAAAGTAATCTTTTGTTAAAATTAAAATATATTTTAATAATAATTTTTTTTATAGATAAAGCAAAAAATTTGCAAACTTATTTCACAAATTATATTGAAGATACTTATATATATGCTTCAGTTGATATAGATTTATATGGATATATTGTAATAACAGATATCTAAAGTGGTAAAGTCATTCAAATATCATAACCTAACTATTACAAAGTATTAAGAGCAGATGATATAGTTTTTATATTAATTCATGATTTTTAGAATAAATAAATTATAATTGATTAAAACTTGAATGTTTTATAAGAAACTATAAATAGATTAAAGGAGTATTATATTTCTTTTCTCTGGAAAGAAAATTAAGACTCCTATTTTATTTCTATTTCTTCAGAGAAGTTTACAATATTTAATACGAAAGGTTTTTAAGTAATGTAAAAAGATTTTAAAGTCATTAATTTAATTTAAAATAATTAATAATTAATTTTATTTTTGGATTCACAAGTAATTTAAATATAAATTAGCATACAAAAAAAATAGGTTATTTAAATAAACTCTTTCCCTGTTGATAGTTAATACAAAAATATTTATGCTGATAAGTAAAATAAATTAATTTATATGTAGTTTTAAAATTTCTTGATAGTTTTATAAATCGATACCTTACAATAAATTTAGACAATTTCTATTTAGAGTGATTTTGTGTTTGTAGGGAATGACTCATTAAATAAGGTAATTTTAATTAGTATTTATAATAAAAACACAATAATTATTATTTTTTTATAATAGATTTAAATTTTTAAACAAGCTAAAGCTATTATCATATTCAAATTATTTAGCACCTCTTTGTAAGTAATTCCTTTAAGTATTGATATAACTTCTAAGAAAATATTTATAGATAGTGAGTTAGGAATATTAATTATTTGTGATAATAAAAATATTCAGACATACATTTTATCTTATATAGGATAAACATAATTTAGTAGCTTTATGATAATTACTGATTTAGATTTATTAAATTATTAATTTGTATTTAACTATAATTATCATTTAAGTATTTTAGTAGTTACATAAGCTATAAACGTTTACTATCTTGACATAAATTATTTTTATTATAATCCTTAAAGTATCCAGCTTGCTACTGAAAATTAATCAGCAACTTTTGGATTATAAAAAGAGAATATAATTACAATAAATAATGATATTAATTATATATCGATATATGATAGTACATCATAGTAACTTAAAGATAGTATAATTTTTAACTAAAATGTAGATCAAATTAATATACAATAATATTAGATTATTAGTTTCAGCAAAGAAAATATCATAGTGTGTTTTAGAAAGACAGATTATTATATTCTTTAATTTTCACCTTTGAAGATAATCGAATTTATTTATCTTTCTGACGTATAAAACGTTTATATATCTAACAAATATGAAATGCTAGTTTATAGTAATATGAATTAACAAGTTTATTTTTTCTGCTCTAAATAGTAATAATTTATCCAATTAAAGAAAGATTAGCTAGTAATAAGTTAACTAATCATAGTTAATCAAAATTTTATTGGTATATCTGTGCTAAATAATAATCAATATTATTTTTTTGTATATGATACAATCCTATTGCAAAATGTACCTCTAACTCTGAACAAAGTATAAAATTTTTTATTTTTTAACTTTTTTACCAACTAACATAAAATTCAATAAAAATTATTATAATAATTAGGGACAGATAATAGATTTAAAAATAAAGAATTTTGTAGTAGTTTAAAAAACTTCTTCATCAGATTTAACAATCCTCTAGATATTTTAATTTAGTTCAAACGATGATAAATACATTTACTATAATTTTTAATAAAATAGTTAGCTCTACATCAAGCAAATATTTAATTAACAAAATTTTAATTAGGTTAATAGCATTTATATTATGACAATGTCAGATAATTTGTTTGTTCAGTTTTGGAAAATTTAAGAAACTTAAAATTTAGATTAAGTTTCTTAAAATATTTAAATTAAGTAGCTAGCTTTACCATGCTCTAACAACACTTAAATAAAAGTAGAAAAAGACTATTTTTATTTCATATGCCCCTTTGCTGCTTTTATTTATAATTCTGATATCACGTTTGTTTAAAGTATTAAATATCTAGTTAGCTCCCAAATAAACATTAAAGACATATACTACCTTGATTATGGTATATTTATAGTAAAACTCTAAAGTTAATTAGATTTATATGAAATAAAAAACAATTTTAAATAAAAAATCAAATCACTTACAAAAATTTACAATCCTTCGATTTACAAATATGCATTAAACATCTAAAATAGTATAATTTAAATATCCTTATATGGAATATCAGATTTTAATTTATTTTAAGCTACAATTAATTATCAATCTAAACAATTCATGTACAAAATGGTTGAATTTTAAGATTAAAATAAAGTTTAAGTGAAAATATCAAGCTTTATTGATAACTACAAGGTAATTTTTTATTGAAAAAAAGTTTTTTTATGAATTTTTTTTAAAGCACATAATTTAATAGTCATAAATTACATAAAATTTAGAAACTCTTAGATATCAGATATACTATTAGCCTCCTTCAACTATGTAATTATCTTGATCATTAGTAGAAAAATAATTTTAAATATTTTTATTAAAATTTAGCAATCAATTCCCTGTTTTGAATTTTTACAGCAATTCAGATATCGTAGAAGTATATTCAGAAAAAGGCATAAATATCAATGAAAAATATTAATTATAAATTTCATCAACTTAATTCATATCTGAGTAATTTAAGAATTTAAAAATAGGAAGCATGATTCTCAATTTTAACTTGACAGATAATAATTGGCTTAATTTTAATTCGTTTAAATAATTATAAAAGTTTTAGCTTTCTAATATTACTATCTAATTTAGCAAGTAAGGTGGAACTATTTACATGAATTCTTATGATTATCTTATTATAAATGAGATTACATTTAGAGATCAAATAATCAATACTTAAATCTTCTTTTAAAATATCAGCAATATTATCATAAATAACATGGAATTTAAAAACATCACTTTATAGTCATAGTCTTCTTTTCTTTCATTTGAAGGAATCAAAAATTTATTGATAAGAAATCTTACTATCAGTAAATGTAATTTGACCCAAAATATAATTCAAGTTAACAATTTAACTAATCTTACCATGGAGAATATAATTATTACAGAAAATAAGTTCTTACAAGGATTTATATTTGCCAATTAGTCTGTTAATGTTTTTTCTAATCAGATTTAAGTTATAAATAATTAATTAAATGCTAATACTAACCAATAAAATTAAATAAATCCATACCTGTTCAATTTTTAGTAAGTTTAATAAGTTTTATTTAGCAACATAACTTTTAATAACTCATAAAATTTGGGATTTATAAATTTCACAGGCATGATGATAAATTTTTAGTTTTTGTATTCCATGTAAATTAATAATTCTTTTTTCAATGAAATACAATTATAGATACCTGTAATTATGATAACATAAGGATAAACTGTAAATATAGCAAATATGACAGTTTAAAAAATGAATAGCTCACACTTTATGCAAATATAATTAGTAGATCAGCTCTTTTTAAAAAAATTAACCTTTATTAATGTAAATGAAAATTTAATTGAATTAAAAAATTTAGAATCTTCTTTATCTAATTAATTTTAAAAATATTTGTTGAGTCTTGGTGGAATAAACAATTTTATACTTTCAAATTTAGAAATTTCTTTTTGCAACAATATCGGAATGCTTAGTCTAGTTTAATATTAGGTAGGAAAAAGCTCAATCTTAAATAGCAATAATCTTTAAGCAAATAAAATAATAATAACTAACTCAATATCAAACATAAATGAACCTGCTATCAATTTAAATAACCAATAATCAAATATACTTCAGTTAAAGGTTAAAAATTTAACATTCTCTAGTAATATTATGAATATTAATTCCTAATAATTATTTTAGATGAATAATTCCTAATTTATTAATATTTAATTGAAAAATTATTCTACAACTATTTACAGTACTGATAGTTAGGTTATTTAAATATTTAATTCTTAATATTTAAATATTTCTTCATAACAAAAATCTACAGTTTTTTTAACAAAATCAGTAGATTAAATAGCAATACAAAATTGTACATTTAAACAAAATAATAATATTTAATTTGATATTTCTTCATCTCCAAGTTTTGACGATCATAGTATTATTAATATTTAAAACTGCATCAATTTCTTAGTTTAGGATTCCCTATTTGTATAAAATATTTGCTTTGGCAACGGAGGAGCAATCTATTTATCCTAAATTTAGAAATCTATAATAAATAACACAAAGTTTATGCTAAATTAGGCTCAATAAAATTCAGGAGGAGCAATTTATGCTTCTAACTCTTATATTAATATAAATAAATGCATTTTTTAGAATAATATATCTAAAAAGGAAAGAGGAGGAGCTATCTATTCTGATAATACTTATATCATAATAAGCAATTCTAATATTATAAATAATATTGCCTATGTGGGTGGTGGAGTTTATTATAATAAAATGAATACAATAGATGTTGATAGAGCTAGCTAAATTTATGGAAACAAAGGTAAAATTATTAATAATTTATTTACTTTTTATTAAATTATCTATTTTATAGGAAGATTCTATGGTGATAATTTAGGTTCTTATCCAAGAAAGCTATTAAAAGTCGATTTAAAAACAAAATAGATTTACAGCAAAATAGTAATTCAAAACTTTCAAAGTGGCAATTATACAAAATAACCTATATTTGTGCAATATTTTGATGAAGAAAATAAAATATTAAATTTTAACATTGCAGAATCGCCTAATTAGCTTTCTCCAAGCATAAAATAAGAGATACAAAATTATTAAATATCAATAGCAAATTCAACTGAAATAAAAGACTTAACTATAATTTTAGGATAATAGTTGCAATATATAAAGAAAATCAATTTATTTTAACTAAATATAACAGCAGGAAATTATTATAAAACTGATTTCTAATTGGTTTTATATTCAGAGTTTTTTGGCATGAAGCTTACTTTAGATGTATTCCTCAGTTTTAGAAAATGTCAAATCGGAGAAATTTTATATCCAAAGCAAGGATATATCTCGTAATTTTATTTTTATATTTAATTTATTTATAATAACTTTTAAAAAAATAAAAGCTGCGATTAATGTATATAAGGCACTTATTCTGTAGTTAATCCATACTAAGGGTAAAGCAATAATCCTGTTCAGTGCTTAAAATGTCCCTCAAATAAAGCAAAGTTATGTTATTCTAACAGGATAATTTTGTAAGACAATTATTGGAGAGAATCAAATTAAACGGATATTATTTATTCTTGCGATACTATAGGATGTAGTGAAACATCTTATAATTAAATAAATGGCTGTATAAAAGGATATATAGGTCCATTATGCAATACTTGTGATTTTAAAGGAAAAATATGGTAAAATAGCTATGCTTAAAAAGGTAAAGAATGTATTGAATGTGCAAAAGTAGTAGATTTATATATTTATTTGATTTTGCTAATATGTTTATATGCTTTATATATTGTAAAAAGCGTAAATAAGTAGATAGATACGAATATACTAATTATCAAAATAGATTACTTAAGAAAAATGCATATATTGTTTTTAAGCAGATCAAAATATATAGGCTCAGATACTGGCATTATACTAAAGATATTTTTTAACTACTTATAAATACTATCATCATCAATTGATGTGTATAATTAAATTCCTAATATTATTGGAAGTACATTTAAAATAGCTGGGGATCCTGCGTAAGTAACTTACACAAATTTAGATTGTATTTACAAGGATTGGATAATTTCTTAGCTTTGGTTTAACAGGTTAATAATGCAAATTACCTAAATCTTAATTATTACATCAATTGTACTTTTATCCAGAATTCTGTTAGATAAACGTTCAAGAGTTTTTTATAAAAAAAAGATATATTTTATATTTCTTTATTTCTTTTATTAGCCTTCAATTGTTAAATTGCTTGTTTCTCTTTGCTTATGTAAAAGTATAGGAACTAAAGTCTATATGCTTAATGATCTTACCTAATAGTGTTGGACAAGTTAACATATACTTTTTTCAGTAGGAATCATATATCCGCTTACAATAGTTTGGTGTATAGGAATACCATTGATATTCTTATATAAAATTAGATCTGCAATTATTTCGAATTAAAAAGATAGAGTTTAATTTTTCTTATCATATTATTTTATTTTGCAAGGCTATAAAGATAAATTTTATTATTGGGAAATACTTAAAATGTTTCAAAAATTAATTATAATGATTATTCTAAATTTAGATATTTAGAATATTACTTAAAGATAAATAATATCAGTGATTTGTTTTATCTACCTAATTGGAACAATTTAATAGAATCCATACAAATAAAAGTCACTTCAAAATTTAGAAGTATTGCTTTAAGTTGTAGTTGTAATTTCTTTAGCATTATAAACAATCGTCTATGCCTAAGAATCTGATATCTATAGTATACTTGTAATAATAGTCATCTTATTTATTATTAATCTTTACTGTTTGATAAGAATAATATTTTAATATTATTATTCAGCTATTAACCTTATTTTTAAATCTAAAAGTAAAAATATAAAGAAGTTTTTACATTTTTTATTCAAAATTAAAGTCATTAAATTTGATATTAAGAAAAAACAATCATCACTATCACGAATAAGCAATTTATGGAAAATCATTTACAAAAATAAATCTCAACTAAATTTCAGATAATTATATTCTACTTAATAACTGAGCTTGCAAACCTAGAGACTATAGCCAGAAATTCAATTTGAAATTAATACAGTAATTTATAATTTAAATAATTTGATTTAAAAAGTTAATTTTAATAATAGGATTAAGATAAATTATTATCTATAGCTAAGATAAAATGAAATCAAAGGACAAAAAAAAGATTCGGCATCATTTTATACTTTAAACAAAGAAGTTTAAAAACTAAAATTTTTTAATAATTAAAAATAAATAAATTAATATGTAAAGTAATTTATAAACTTCTCTACTATAATTAAATCTATCATAAATATAAATTTTCTTTTATTAATCATGATGTTTTATTTTAATTAAAATAATAATTTTTATTTAAATTATTAAATATTATAGCAATTAAAACATATAAAATCAAAAAAATATTATATATAATAAATTTATGTAATTATTCATATTAAATTGGTAATAAGAAATTATTTTTTTTTTAAGCTGATTAATTTATTCTATTTTAAAATTTAAAAAAAACATTTACATAATAAAAAATCCTCAATTAGCAATATATAAATTTATCTAATAACCAGTAAAAAGTAAATTCATAGTATTTTTATGGTTTTTTTTATCAATTAATTTAGTATTAAAGATATTTAATTAATACATTTAAATAGTATGAGGAAAATATAAGACTTACTCATTTTAGTGTTTATCTGTTTTGTAAAGTAAGCATAGCAATTAAGCATACCAGATGTATGTCCTTTAGTTAGCAATTTTTTTTTAAGTTAATCTGATCAATGTTAATAGTGCTTAAAAAATTGCAGCGAATGCTTTTCAAACAATTACTGTGTTTTATGTATGCCAGGATTCATTTTAGTAATATTATTCTATTTTTAACTTAAAATTAATCAATCTACGAAAATAGAATAGTTAGGGATAGTGTGTAGGTAATTGTGGAGATAATTAACTGAAAAACACTTTAAATAAGCAATGTTAAAACGTTCCTGATATAAATTGCTAGAAATATAATTAACAAAACTAATGCTAATAATGTAAAGATGGATATATTTTAAGTAAAAATAAAATATGCGAAAATACATTTTGTTCAGGTTATTAAGGCACCTATGATATTTCTACCTAAAAATGTTCTTTAGACGGATTTTTACTATCAGATTACAGTAGGGAATAGTAAGATTAATAAGCCAACGCTCAATTAACCTAAGATTCTTTCAGTTTTTAGTACTCATCATTAAAGGAAAGCTTGAATGAGCAAATAATAGAAATAATTGTTTTAGATATCTTAGATTACAAATTAGTACTTTTTTAATATATTTGTTTAAATTTTGTAATATATTTATTAATATTATTTAGGTAATAGGAAGAACTATTCAATACATCATATTTTATGAGTACAAATCAATGTCTGCCTTATATTTATTTGATATGAAAATTCCAATTATTTAATTATAAGCTAATCAATAATAAATGAAGCTCTATGCTTTGATTTCACACTGCGATACTACTAATTTAAATACAAAATATGTCTTAAATTAACTTGTCTCTATTGACATAGCTTCATATTAATAAAATATAATCATCTCATATAATAATATAGTAGATTAAGGTTTATTTAATTCTTAATATTTGGTTTTTAGAAGCGGAAGTATTTTAATTATATTTCCTCTAAGCGATTAACATATGAAGACATTATAAACAAATATATAAATAAGTAGTTATTCTTTTTTATAAACTGAAGCAATCATTTTATTTACAGATTATAATAATTAAGTATACTTGACAAATCCTACATTTACGGGTTATAACTTAATTAATTTAAGCTCAAACTCAAGATTTTAAATGGTCTAATCAATTCTTACACAAAGTTTTATATCTGTCATTCAAACAGACTAAGCTAATTAAAAACAAAGTCTAATAATTTTTGGAATACAAAAATAAATGGATTCTTAAAATCAGATTTATTATACTTTAGGATAGGTTATTTTTTTTTATTATTAAAAAATATTAATTAAAATTAAAATTTATTAGTAAATATAAGTTATCGAATATAGTGGACAAAATATTTAAGTGACAAATCTTATGAATGTAATATATTTGATTTCTAATACAGGTAAATTTTATTTGGAAAAAAATAAAAATTTATAAAATTTAATCTTAAAATAAAATAAAGAAATTTAAATTTGGAAAGAGTCAAAACAGGTTTTTTAAGTTAACATCGAAAATAGCTTGTACAATTTTATATAGGATGATTGCGTAATAGTAAATTTTAATTAAAATATTTATGTCTTTCTTAATATTCAAAGCGATTCTTAAATAGAAAAACAAACATATAATTACCCTATTAGAACTTAAATAAATACTGTAGTTTTTTACTAAAATTCAATATTAGTAAGTGCATATTATACAATCTATTCCATTTAATATTACAAAAAAACAGAAAAATAATAAACCTTACAATCTTTTAGCCATAGTAATAGCCAAATAAAGATAGATAAATAATTTAAATAAACTTTAGTGTACAGTGATGATGGGATCAAAGTTAAAATATTATTAATTATTTATGATACAGAATATTATATAGTTGGTTATGTTAATAATTAATAAATTGCTTTTAGAGATCAAATTGGATCTTAAATAATTAACAGTTGGATAATACTTCAAAACCTGTTCATATAAGTTGATTAATAATTGTATTAGCTTAATTTAAATACATTTTAAAAGAAATAAATAAAATTTACAAATATTATCAAAATTTTACCTGAAAATGATAATCTTTTTGTGATAGATTGGTCAGACCCATCTGATTGTTAATAATTACAGTTTACTAAATTTACTTCTGACTAAACATAAGTTTGCACACTATAATTTCCTAACAATCCTGATTATCAATTTACTTGTTTCATTAATATTTAAATAGAAAGTAATTTAATTGTATATGATGCTGGATTCTATTTCATATTATTTTAATATAATTGCTAAGTCTAATATCAATCTATTACTGATTTTACAATGATTAAAATCATAGACTCGAATACTATAGTAATATATGGTGAGGACCTTTAGATATTATTATTAGATAGTAATACAATGATAGATACATAATTAAGTAGAATAAGTTAATTTGATATATTCAAAAATATTCTAGTTATTTGTGTCTAATTTTAAGCAACAATAGGAGGCTCAAATTAACATTTAACAAAAATAAATCTAAATAAATATATCAATTACTATCCATAAGATCTAAATGAGTATAGTTATGATTATGCAGTTTCTAATTTTATAATAAAAATAAATGGATAAACTTTAAAATATTTGGGTATGTCTTATTCTTTATTTTCTTATACATCCGTGTCTTTTTCAGATAATATCAGTCAAGTTGAGCCAGTTAGAAACTCTAATTCTCTTTTGCTTATAAGATTTTAAAATGTAATTATTATTAAAAATATATATCCATTTCATTTGTTATAAATAATTTAAAAATTTATGGATTTTTTATTTTATAATTTTTAATAAAACTAAATCAATAAAAATAAAATATTTATTAAAATATAGGATAAATATAGCGCTGTTTTATTAGATGGTCATGCAAATACTTAATTTTAAATAAATGGTAACATAAATGCCTTAATGTATTTTAAGAATTACATTATGTTTCTATAAAAACCTTACAATTAATTATTAGTTTTAAAAGCATCAAATCAAATAAACTTAAACAAATTTTTTAAATACGATCAATTTTATGTATATAGTAGCGAAGCATAGTAACTATCAGTATCATCTAATGGAGATGTTATAGAAATATAATATTATAAAGATGGGTCAAAAAAAGTATTTCAAAGTATTATTTTGTTAAAATTAAAAATTTATTTTAATTATCATTTTTTTTTTAGATAAAGCAAACAAATTAAAAATTCATTTCACAAATTATATTGAAGATACTTATATATATGCTAAAGTTAGTATATAATCTTTTGGATAGATTGTAATATCAGATATTTAAAGTGGTAAAGTAATTTAAATATAATAACCCACTTATTACAAAGTATTAAGAACAGATGACATAGTTTTTATATTAATTCATGATTTAGATAATAATTAAATTATAATTGATTAAAATTTGAATGTTTTATAAGAAACTATTAATAGATTAAAAGAATATTACATTTCTTTTCTCTGGAAAGAAAATTAAGACTCCTATTTTATTTCTATTTCTTCAAACAAGTTTACAGTATTTAATACAAAAGGTTTTTAAGTAATGTAAAAAGATTTTAATGTAATTGATTTGATTTAAAATGATTAATAATTAATTTTATTTTTGGATTCACAAGTGATTTAAATATAAATTAGCATACAAAAAAAGTAAATTTTTCAAATAAATTCTTTTCCTGTTGATAGTTAATACAAAAATATTTATGCTGATAAGTAAAATAAATTAATTTATATGTAGTTTTAAAACTTCTTGATAGTTTTATAAATTGATACCTTATAATAAATTTAGAAAATTGCTATTTAGAATGATTTTGTCTTTATAGGGAATGACTCATTAAATAAGGTAATTTTAATTAGTATTTATAATAGAAAAACATTTATATAAATTTTTTTTTTAATAGATTTAAATTTTTAAACAAGCTAATGCTATTATCTTATTCAAATTATTTAACACCTCTTTGTAAGTAATTCCTTTAAGTATTGATATAACTGCTATGAAAATATTTATAGATAGTGAGTTAGGAATATTAATTATTTGTGATAATAATAATATTCAAGCATACATTTTATCTTATATAGGATAAGCATAATTTAGTAGCTTTATCATAACAACTGATTTAAATGTGTTAAGTTATAAATTTGTATTTAATTATAATTATCATTTGAGTACTTTAATAGTTACTTAAGCTATAAATGTTTATAATCTTGACATAAATTATTTTTATTATAATCCTTAAAGTATTCAGCTTGCTACTGAAAATTAATCAGCAACTTTTGGATTATAAAAAGAGAATATAATTACAATAAATAATGATATTAATTATATATCGATATATGATAGTACATCATAGTAACTTAAAGATAGTATAATTTTTAACTAAAATGTAGATCAAATTAATTTATAATAATATTAGATTATTAGTTTCAGCAAAGAAAATATCATAGTGTGTTTTAGAAAGACAGATTATTATATTCTTTAATTTTCACCTTTGAAGATAATTGAATTTATTTATCTTTCTGACGTTTAAAACGCTTATATATCTAACAAATATGAAATGCTAGTTTATAGTAATATAAATTAATAAGTTTATTTTTTCTGCTCTAAATAGTAAAAATTTATCTAATTAAAGAAAGATTAGTAAGTAATAAGTTAACTAACCATAATTAATGAAAGGTTTATTGGTATATCTGTGCTAAATAATAATCTTTATTTATTTTTTGTATATGATACAATTCTATTGCAAAATGTACCTCTAACCCTTTAAGAAGTATAAAATTTTTTATTAATTAAGAAAATATAAATATCTTTTATAACATTTTTATTCTATTAACTTTTTTTCAATTAAAATAAAATTCAATAAAAATTATTATAAAAATTAGGGACAAATAGTAGATTTAAAAATAAAGAATTTTCTAGTAGTTTCGAAAATATCCTCATCAAATTTATCTATCCTCTAGATATTTTAATTTAATTAAAATGATAATAAATACATTTACTACAATTTTTAATAAAATTGTTAGCTCTATATCAAGCAAATATTTAATAAATAAAATTTTAATTAGGTAAATAGCATTTATATTATGACAATGTCAGATAATTTATTTATTCAGTTTTGGAAAATTAAAGAAACTTAAAATTTAGATTAAGTTTCTTAAAATATTTAAATTAAGTAGCTAGCTTTACCATGCTCTAACAACACTTAAATAAAAGTAGAAAAAGACTATTTTTATTTCATATGCCCCTTTGCTGCTTTTATTTATAATTCTGATATCATGTTTGTTTAAAGTATTAAATATCTAGTTAGCTCCCAAATAAATATTAACGATATATACCTCCTTGATTATGATATATTTATAGTAAAACTCTAAAGTTAATTAGATTTATATGAAATCAATAACAATTTTAAATAAAAAATCAAATCACTTACAAAAATTTACAATCCTTTGATTTACAAATATGCTTTAAACATCTAAAATAGTATTATTTAAATATCCTTATATGGAATATCAGATTTTAATTTATTTTAAGCTACAATTAATTATCAATCTAAACAATTCATGTACTAAATGGTTGAATTTTAAGATTAAAATAAAAGTTTAAGTGAAAATATCAAGCTTTATTGATAACTACAAGGTAATTTTTTATTGA